TTTGTGAGAAGAGCAGAAATCCCACTCGTTTTTCATGTTTTATTTATTCAAAAAATTTTCTTTAGTACTCCTATGCAGAATTAACTGCTTATTTCTGTATTGTTCCTAACACAGGTTATATAAGACTGTTCTCCTTCTAAAAAGCAGACCTGGTCATGTCATTCCCTTTCCCTTTAGTGACTCCCTGTTATTCTCAGGTTGGAGCTCAGACATAGCTTACTAGGGGTTTATGACCTGGCCTTGGGCTACCTCTCCAGAGTCAGTCTTCCATTGGACTCGCGTTCCTCTGGCATGCCCTGCATCACTTTCAGTGAGCTTCTGTGCATCCTGTTTCGTTTACCTAATAAAATAGTCTTCTCCTTACCCCTTTACTATGGCTAACTGCTTGTCTTTCAGGTTTTATCTTAGATAGCACTTTCTATGGTAAACTTTACTGGACCAAATGCCCCAACGCAGTCTCGGGTACTCCTTCCCTGTACTGTTGTGGTACCTTGTGTTGCTGTTAATCAAATACTTGCAGTACTTTGCCATTGACCATAGCCACCACTGGAGAGTCTTTGTCTTTCTCCTGTTTTAACTCCCAGCTCCTAAAACGGTACATACTCAGGACATTTTTTTCTATTTCCTGTAATAGCCTATGAAGACCTTGAGTTTAGACTTGCGTGGTAGATCATAAGTGCTAACCAGATGTTTGAGTGAATCAGTGAGTGATTGATTGCATTGTTTAGTCTTGGAGTATAGGAGAAAGGCTTGTGAACTGCTTCTCCCTCCCCCAATCTCTCCATTTTCAGCATCATACAAAGTCCCTGCTCTGTCTCTCCAGCTGAGCCTAGAATAAGGGCTCCTTTGGGCTACTTTTCAGAAAATGAATCATATATTGGAAAAATTTTAAGTAAAGCTGCAAAGCTAAGGTAATATTAAGCCCTCACCTGTGAACAGTAATGGCTTTAGATATTTTGCAGTTTAAAACATGTCAAAACAGTTGTGTAAAGTAGACCTTATGGTGTATATGTCAAGACAAGGGAGAATTTTAAAGGAATAAAGATAAGAAAGGAATTTTAAAGGAATAAAGGAAACTAGATTCTGGGCATCTCTCCTTCATAAAACTGATCTATGAAAGCACCGTGGATTGTGAAATCTGCAACTAAAGCTACCAAATCTGAGCTTCAGGGTTATACTTTTAATAGGCTTAATAAAATTTAGCTTGTACAACTTTATTAATGTTTTCTCTGAAAACCTTACCAGAGATTTTAATTGCAGTTTTTTCTTGACTTAAAAAAAATTGTTCTTAAGTGAAAAAATAAACAAGTATGTCTGAGTGGTAATATTTTATTTTGTCTGCACATTTTTTTAAATGTTTATTTATTTTGAGTGAGAGGGTGAGCAGGGGAGGGGCAGAGAGAGAGGGAGACACAGAATCTGAAGCAAGCTCCAGGCTCTGACCTGTCAGCACAGAGCCCGACATGGGGCTTGAACTCTCAAGTCGAGCTATGAGCTCATGACCTGAGCTAAAGTCGGACCAACTGAGCCATCCAGGTGCCCTTGTCTGCACATTTTTTTAAAGAGAGAGAGCATGTGTGCATGTGCCTACGTGAACCGGGGAGGCCCGGAGAAGAGAGACAGAAAACCAAGCAGGCTCTAAGCCATCAGCACAGAGCCTGATGAGGGGCTCAGACTCACCAACTGTGAGATCATGACCTGAACCAAAAGTAAGAGCAGGACACTTAAGCAACTGAGCCACCCAGGTGCCCTCATTTTTTTTTTCCTTTTATCTGTAAACAAAATGACATTTTTATCTTACTTTTCTTTTTCTTTTTTTTTAAAGATTTAATTTTTTTAAGTCATCTCTACCCAACGTGGGCTCAAAGTCACAACCCCAAGACCAAGAGTTGCATGCTATACTGACTGAGCCAGCCAGGCACCCCTCTTACTTTACTTTTCATTAACTGAATATGCTTTTATCTGACTCTGTGTAATGGACTTTTGTCACTTACGGTAACCATTGATGGAAAATTTCATACTATTTTAACTGCAGTGTTTTGTTTGTTTTTTTTCTCTTATACCTAGTTGTTGTGGAATTACAAGCTGAATCTAACTACAGACCCCAAATTTGAATCTGTGGCCAGAGAGGTTTGCAAATCTACCATATCAGAGGTAGGTTGTGACAGAATTTTGTGGGTATTTAATGGCTTAGAAGAGAAAATTACATCTGTTGACCAGACCAGTCATTAAGGGAGGAATAACTGACTCAGTTACTTTACTTTTCTTGGAATTCACATCTACATGGTCTGAGAGAGGCCACTGCAGTGGGGAGTATAACTAGCCTCCTGTATTCACCTACAGTTACAGTAGGACGCTATTGATTCAGACACATTGGAAATCAGGCTCCGTTGGTCCCCAGATGGAGGACACAACTGCTTCTGTCATCAGTGCTGCGGTCACACTTTTTACAATCTGCTGATGTCTGAAGCATATCAAAATGGTCTCCCCAAGAGGCTTATCAACGTTTCTGAGTTACACGTTTGGATCAATTGGACCACAGAGGCATATGCTTCAAATAATAGGAGTTAGCATTAAAAAGGTTTGTGGAAGGATTGTGTATGTTGTTATAGTTAGATGTTGAGTATAAAAATAAAAATAATGAAAATAGTATAGCACTGTATGGGTGCTAATTGGGGAAACTTTTCAACTGTCTTGGTTCAACAAATGATATTAGTGAAAATTGTGGTATTGAAATTTTTATTTTATTTTTTGGAATCAGTGATAAGAATTTCAAAAAGCCAGAGATTTCTGCATACTGAAGTATAAGAATCACAAAGAACAGTTGCTGTTTTTCCACCTCAGAGTTAATAATTGTACATTTTGCAACATCTAGATCTGCCCTCAAACTACCCTACTGATGACTCAATTCAGGACCACTTTCTTAGCTCTAAGGGTTCTTAGCAGGACCACCCTCTTCCATCCAGATAAGCCCTGAGCTTTGTTCCTCAATTACATCATTACGGGACCCTGTTTAGAACCTGTTTGCTTCCTCACACCTTCTAATACTGGATCTGATATGTTTTATTCTTTTCAAGCAGTTACCCTTCTTCATAGTTACCTTGGGGCTTCAGAACACAATAGCGTATCTTTGAAAACATTGGGCTTCGGCTTTAGTATTGCACACCTCATAGTCCCTTAGCTAGCTATATGGTTAGCTGTTTATAGCACTTTGATTGCCTTGTGGAAATTTTGCCCAGAGTCTCTGCATATTCATCAGGAAAATTTCACTCTTGGCTGGCTTATAAAAGATATATATACGTATAATTGGTTTTCTTATAATGGGTATGTAATGATGGTTCTCTTGTAACCTTTTGGGGTGTTGTGGTTTTGTCAAAGATTTCAAGTAAAAACCAGAATTTATCCCTCCCTAGGAGGGAGATTATACTGGAATCAGGAAAATTAAAATCAGGAAGAACCTAATTGCCCACAAAATGTTTTATTCTACATCTCTCTCCTATCTTCTTTCTTGCAATCCTATTTGCAAGGAGAAAAACAGCATCAGAAGAATACCTGCAAATTGCAAACCAAACTTATTTACTCTCTGTAGTTGAAGCAAATACTGCTTGCTTCCTCCTTTCCTCCTGCTTCCCTCCTGCTTCCCTCCTGCTTCACGTCAAAAACAGAGTGACAGCAGCATTTTTCTAATGGCACCTTATGAATCTGCTCCCCAGCCACTTCAGAGTTTACTCCCATTCATAAATATGTTGATGATTTATTGCGGTTCTTGCTGTTAATCTTAGAAATTTTCCTTCTGTCTTATTAAACTTCTAGCCAATGGAATGGCTGAAGGAAAGCATAATCTTCTGAATCAAACACCATGCCCTATTGTAACTGGTGGTGAACTAAAATACAAATAGGTACTCAGTCTCTGTGCTTCAGTAAAATCTCAAGTGATTGAAGCTAAATACACATTTATTTTCTTATTGGGGCTCCAATTCAAAATGTGCTCCTGGCTTTTCTTCAGATTTATAAACTTGATTGCCCAGTATAAGGGCTGTATTGAACTCTTGCACTTTATTAAATTTTAAAACCCAGGTGTCTGCCACTAGTTTTGTGTTCTTACACAGGCTTTTCATTGGTTGGATTACAAATGCCTTCCTTTCACTTTTGAAACTTTTGTTTTACTCAAAACAAAACAAGCCTTTTCCTGGAAATACATTCATGACCCTCTTTTTTAGGCATCTCCAAAAAAAAAAAAAAAAAAAAAAAAAAAAAAAAAAAAACCTCAGGGTTAAGTTGAAAGAGTTGCATTCATCTTGATTGTTGAAGGTCTCTGCTGCCTCTTGAAGACAGAGTGAGACTATTTACTTAAATTCTCAAGTTTGCTTCTTTAAAAGTAAACAGTCTTCTGTCTTGAACAGAGTGTCTGACTTGATCTGGATTTGATACAAGAATTAGACATGAAGAGACCTAGTGGGCTATAGGATGATGTGTGTGTGGTGTATTTGTTTTGCCCTCTATACATATTTACGATAAGTGTGATAGTAGAGAATGGTCTCTATTGGTTTCAAAAAACCAGTAAAACATTCTCTTCTCATTTATAGTAAAAATAAACATTTACATTTGGGCCCCTTACTCTTGTCAAAACTACCATTTTTGTTTCTTTTTAATTTCTTCAAATGCAGTAGGATTTTTGCAAACAACTTTCCCCATTTTATAATTCAAGCTTACAACCCTATAAGTAGATTTTACTCTTTTAGGACTGAATTTCAGCATTTTTTGGCTAGTTTGCTTCATTAGCACTTGTGGTTTGGGATGCACTTTGCAGGAACAGTAACCATGTGGAATTACTCTGTGCTTGATCCTCTAGAACATGTTGTCTAAACCACCCAAATTAGATTTGCAGTGGCCTTCCCCTTCTCAGACTTTTTGCCAGACTGCACTGAGCATCATTTTAAACATGTTTGTGTTCCAGACCACAGTGGCGAAGCTGGGACTCTACTAAAGTTCAAAAACACATGTCCAAATCCACAGTTAATTCAGAACACATTAATGTCATGTCAAGAAGTAATATTATGCCTTCCTGCCTCCCTCCTTTTGGCCACTAGGTTTCCCTGACAGTAATGGTTTGCTGTGTAGCTTGACTTGGGACATGGTACTAGACTTCACTTCTGCACCTGTTTTCCAGACCTGTTTCCCAGATTAATCTCACTGTCCATTGCCTTCTTTGCGTGGATAAAGGAACTTTTCAGTACAGCCATTCTGAAGCTGTAGATGTTAGAAGCTCTTTTTATTTATATCTCAATAAAGCTGAAATTGTAAAAATTTCTTGCAAAACACATTTAGCAGGTATTTCCTAGAGAGTACAACAATCTGAATATGGCTGCCACTATTTTCTTTAAAATAAATGTATTTCTAAGTGTTTTCCTCTTTTTCTCCCAAATACAGAGATGGGAAATCAGTAAGAAAAGATCACACATTCTCTCTTTTATAAAAGTTACATGATAGGAAAATAAAATACTTGTGTAAAACAGCCACTTTCTTTGGAGCAGATTAAAGAATGTGCTGATGAACCAGTTGGAAAAGGTTACTTGGTTTCCTGCTTGGTGGATCACCGAGGCAATATCACTGAATACCAGTGTCACCAATACATCACCAAGATGACGGCCATCATTTTCAGTGATTACCGTCTAATCTGTGGCTTCATGGATGACTGCAAAAATGACATCAACATTCTGAAATGTGGCAGTATTCGGCTTGGAGAAAAGGTATCTGCTATACTGGCTTCACCAAAGGGGTCCTGCAAACTTGATGAATGTAAAGTGTTGTATAACTGGCATGGGAAAAATTTAGGGCTGGAGGTGGCCTTGAAGTAGAGGTCCAGACAGCCCTCAGATCTAAGACTCGTTAACCTGTGAATGCATTTCGTTTGTTTGTGTCTCAGTATGGGGAAGCAGAGGAATTAATATCAGCCAAGAGTAGTGTCATCTTCAAAATACTAAACCACTTGCCGGGTACCTGTATTGTTCCTTGCCAGAGCATTTTGTTGTCTGTGGGCAAAGTGGTTGGATTAGAAGAGACTTGAATTTTCTACCCTTTCTTTGCAAATACCTTATTGCTGCTATAAAAAAAAAAAAAAAAATTACTTAGTAAGCACACTGCTACAAAAGAAGATATTTAAATATTAGAAAAGTTTAAGGTACATAAAGGTACTTTAGGCTTCTGACAGGAAAGGTACTCTATAAATGTGATCTGTTATTATCTTTCTCTCAAAAGAACTAGTTTTAGTAAAGATAGGAAAGAAAATAACTACCTAACTAATTTCTTCTTTCTTAATTATATCTATCTGGTCTTCCTTTTGTTCCTTTGAATCTGTTGTCCAGGAGGTCATAATGGAGGTTTGGCCAGGTTTATTCTGAATTTGTTGGCTCAGCAAAATGAAGGAAACTCCTGAGAAGTAACAGCTGCCGAGGGAGAGGTGGTCTGAGGCATATGTCTGGCATCAGCTATTAATTGCCACTGCTCATTAATCTGCTCTTTAGGAAATATGATAGAAAATAAAACCCCTTTGTCGCTTTGCCCTCTATTTGTTCATTGTCCCGTGGTTTGCGGGCTTCTGTCACTGACCAAGGGGGCCTGGTGTTAGAATGCCAGAGCTGCACACACCAGTTCATTGGAAGCTTTTAGTGCTGGTTCTTACCTGGCTGTCACCAAATACCTTTTCCTTCCCACCAGCACAGGGCTCTGGCCCTTTCACAGGGCACCTCTGAGTCAGTCTTGAAAGTGCTGTGAATTTGGCATACAGCTTTTGGCAGCTAAAGAAAGGCCAGTTTTAATCAAGAAGGCAGATTTTTTTTCCTTCCCAGCAGACTCTAGAAATGGCACAAAAGCACTTAAGCTACCCTAATTATTCAGGAAGCGCCTCTGCCTTTATTTAGGGTGTGAGAGATTATTTCCAGTTCCATATCTCACTCTTTTTAAAATCTTCACATAAGTGTCCTAGACACATTTTTTTAGGAATCAGTGATGACACTTTTCCATATTTGTGATTAGTGGTCCACACCATAGAGTAGACCATTACGATTCATCTCTCTTTGTAGTAGTTTTTCCTTTTGACACCAAGGTAGTTGCCGTTTAGCTTCCCTCCCCCTGGCAATCTGAATTGTCAGAATAAAACCTGCTTTCAACTGCATATATGAGTTACTAAGTTTCAGTGACTGAGACGATCGCAGAACACAGTAGTACTAGAGCCCAAAGACAAGACGGTGAGGACTATTTGCCCAGCTTTGTTAAAATAACAGAAACACTTCTATGGATCATCAGGCTGCGCATTTTTGTCATGGTTATCTTTTGCCATACCTACTGCTTAGGTGAATTTCTGTTTATATCAGATCCCTATCCTAGCATCAAAGACTTTCTTCTGTATTTCGAGGACAAGAAGATGGATTCACACCTGCACTCGAAAAAGCATGCTCCCTCCTATATAACCCACTCTGGTACTGCAGCCAAGTTTAAAAAGGAGGGAGGCAGGTCTTTAGCCTTTCTTGGCTTTTCTAAATGGTAGTTTCCTTTTCTGAAGCCAGTTATTTAGATATGCAGATTATCCTGAAAATTAATGAATCAGCTTCTGACCACAGAAGAAAATAGGCTCATTAGTTTCATATTTGCCAATGAAGCTTGCAAATTCCTCTGTGACTGGCTTTGAACTGACTTCCTCCAATGGTCAGAGGAAAGGGGTCATGGTTAATCTGTACCCTGCCTCTGTATGAATATAGAAAAGTCATGATTTTAAAACTATTATTTTTTTCAAAATGTTAGTATATATAAATTTGAGGACAAAGATTACGAATTTTTTTATAATGTTTATTTTTTGAGAGTGAGAGAGCATGAGCAGGGATGGAGAAGAGAGAGAGGGAGACAGAGTCTGAAGCAGGCTCCATGCTGTCAGCACAGAGCCCGATGTGGGGCTTGAACTCACAAACCACAAAGACCATGACCCGAGCCGAAATCAAGAGTCGGATGCCTAACTGACTGAGTCACCCAGACGCCCCAACAAAGACTATATATTAATAACATTTTTTTCTGAACACAGTTAAAATGAAAGGGCAGATCATCTGAAGAAAAAGCACGGTGTATCATCCATTATAGGAACTTAATTAAGGAAATGTGCCACATTATTACTACTTTTAGACTTTTCATTCAGTAGTTAAATAATTTTATCATTCCCTGCTTTTAACCAACTACTTTGAATATGTTTGGACGGTCTTTTTCTCTCTTTGTCTAGTAAGGAAGATCAAAGAAGACACCAAAAATATTGAAATAGAGAATGGTTTATAGCAGAAATGAAAACTGAGTTCTTCCCTACCTTTTTGAAATTAATGTTATTTTTCTCTGTTCTTAAAAAAAAAAAAAAAAAAGGACAAGGTTTATGGGGAAGAAAAGATACTACCTATCAAATTGCTAAAAACTGATCAGGACACTTAGCAGTAGTTTTAAGACCTTTGTCTCACCACAGAACTTTTAAAGTTTCATTTTAAGTCCATTAGCAAGATCATTTGTTACTCAGTGTTAAGCCTATATATTAGTAACGTAACCTTTTTTAACCTAAGTAATTTTATTTTCCTGTCAATGATGTGCCACTGTGCAGTTTTCCTCCCTTGCTTTCATTCTTATTCTGGAATTAGCCATACAGTCTTCTTTTCAAATATTTACATACATTTCAGTTATAAAAGTAAAACGGGCTAGACTGAAAAGCTCAGAGACTCTGGGGGAACCAATAAGAATACTTGAAATATCTTTATTTGAAAAAATTGTCTATCTAAAGTTAAGATGAATGAAAACCTCTCATGGAGATGATGTTATAGCCCAGTACCAATATGTGGTGCTACAGTTGCTATAATTATAATTAAATCTTAGATTCCTTAGGGGGTCTTAAACCCTGATGCTGCTGCCTTTATTTAAATCCAAGAAGAAGCAAATGGAACCATTAGGAAATATAACAGCCCTAAATAGATAATCTTACTGATGGCACATTTAAAACCATTACAAACCCTGAGTATACAGGGAAACACTTAAGACTCATTACACGGAAGTCATTTCTTTACCCTGTGACCCAAGACTAAAGACTAAATATAAATCAAGAGTTGACTCTCAGGGGGCGCCTGGGTGGCTGAGTCGGTTAAGCATCCAACTCTTGATTTCAGCTCAGGTCATGATCTCATGGTTTCATGAGTTCAAGCCCCGTGTTGGGCTCTGTGTGCTGACCATCCAGAGCCTGCTTGAGATTCTCTTGTGTCCCTCTCTCTCTGCCCCTTCCCCGCGCACGCACACACGCACGCACACACACACACACACACTCACTCTCTCAAAAAAAAAAGAGAAAAGTTGACTATCAGATTATTATTTTCATGTTTATATGATTAAGACCTAGTTGCTAGCAGCCACCTAATTAAGTTAATGGGCTACTCAACTTTGGTAAAGGATCTTGTTTTGTTTTATAAAATAAAATCATGTTTATAATAATCTTTTATATACTGTGAATAGTAAGTGACTGAGGTTTCTGGCCAAGCCTTTGTTATCATAGGTTTGTTTCTCCTTTGGAAAGTAGAACATGTAGGCCTTGCTTAAATGGGCGCTAGTCAGACAAACCTGAGTATCACTCATGATTTAGGAAGAAAAAATGGGCCTTATTCCAGATTTCTGGGGTTTGTGTCAACTTTTCTCTCTGTCCTTATCTTTTTGTCACTTGTCTCTTGGAGTTTTGTTTACCTATTCAGAAGTGCCCTTTAAAAAACCTTCTTGGTCCTCTTGGGTTTTTAAGCATGGGATAAAATCATGCAGCTAGTGAGCAAGGTTCAGGTACAGATAGAGAATAGGAGGCATGAGAATCTGCTAGTAGAGTGTGTTTCCAAATCTTTTTTGGGTCAGTACACCTTTTGAAAATTTAATGAAAACTGTGAACCCTCCTCAGGAAAAATCTAAAACATCCACATATAGATTATAGGATATCCTAGAACCCCAAGGTCTGGAAAAATAAATGATGGACTGTTAGCTAGGCACCTTCCCTTCTGCAACTCAAGACAAGTTGATAAACTCTAGGCCTGTATTTACTCCTCTGCACAAGAGGTACCACAGGTCTTATCCCCTCTCCACAGGTATAATGGAAGACAACTTGGACATTTTTCTGGAAATAATTTAGAAATTAATGTGCTATATAGAACAAATCGCATTACAACAAAGTAGAAAAAAAAAACCACAATTTTTTTTGTTGAATTGAAATTCCGCTTAAAGTAGATGCTTCCCTGCTTGTTTTAGGAATCGTTTTATTATGTACAGATGATTTCATAGATATGGTATTTTACTCTAACAAGATTGTGTGTATAAATAAAATATAGCATATACTTCCTACTGGTTGGCTTGCTGTATTTATGGTTATACCTGTCACGTTTTTGAGCCATATCTTCAGAGTATAGCAGATTAGGACTCCTGAATAAAAAATATTTAGGGGAAATTTCTCGTATTTTTAGTGAATGGATGCTTGTGGTTGCCATGGGGATGATGCAATGCACAATTAAAGATAATTGGATGGCTTTAGGAGAGCTCTCAAAAGCAGTTTGTATAGAGGGTGGTAATCTCATTAAATCTCATTAGGATAAATCCAAAACATCAAAGTGAGTATTACACAATAAATTGTACATATTGGGGTCTTTGTGGACAGTATAGAGTAGAAAAATGAGAAGGAGGGTCTCTGTAACATCTTTTCTCAGTGGATTTTGTGGTTTGCTTTTTTTTTTTTTTTTTTTTTCCAACTTGACTATTGGGGAAATACCTCACCTTTGAGGTAGACGAACAGAGATTTCTGCAGTGTTATTTCAACATTGACATGAACCACAATCAGAACGTGGAGCTAATGTAAATTCTTAAAATTTTTCTGACATTTTAAACTAAAGAATTCAGGTTTCTGTTTCTTTCTTTTTTTTAATGTTTATTTTTGAGAGAGAGAGAGCGAGAGCTCATGTGCAAGCTGGGGAGGGACAAAGAAGGAGGAAGACACAGAACCCGAAGCAGGTTCTAAGGCTCTGAGCTGTCAACGCTCACGAGCCCTGAGATCATGACCTGGGCTGAAGTCAGACACTTAACCAAGTGAGCCACCCGGGCACTCCCTCAGGTTTCTATTTCTAGTGCTAACTTAACTATACTTAAATCTCCCAGGATCTCTCTTTCCATTTGTAGCGTGCAAGTATTCCATTGTAACAGAAGACTGTTGAGGACATTTTCTGTAACTTCCACAGGGTGGTTGGTTCCCACCTGATTTCTCAACAGAACGTGAATAAGCCAACTATATATTGAATTGAGAATTTTTTTTTTTAAAGCAAATGATGTTTATTTGAAACTCATTGTGGTGAGAGTTTTACAATATTAGTATCCTTGCTGTTTTAGGATGCACATTCACAAGGTGAGGTGGTATCATGCTTGGAAAAGGGCCTGGTGAAGGAAGCCGAAGAGAGAGATCCCAAGATTCAAGTCTCTGAACTCTGCAAGAAAGCCATTCTGCGGGTGGCTGAGCTGTCCTCAGATGACTTTCATCTAGACCGGCATTTATATTTTGCTTGCCGAGATGATCGGGAGCGTTTTTGTGAAAATGTGAGTCAGCTCAGAAACTGTTCTTCTCTTTAAAATATTTTTTAATACTTTAGTCCAAAACAAAATTAACCACACACTCTCCCGTGCACATAAGGCACTGAAAGGGAAGGTAGAGTTGGTCCCAGGATAACAGAGACTGATGGAATCCTGTTCATACCTATTTCGTGGCTAAAACTACCATATTACATGTTACTTGTTTTGGGCTAAGATAAACAAAACAGCAGGTGGCTACCTTTTAAAATGAAATCCTTGATTGCTATCTGCAGACCTTATAGAAAAACTTGCTAACATATGAAATGGAAGAGTCTCCATTCTTACAACAAAGAACTGAGAGTAACTTGTGTACATTTCCACCCTCTGCTGTTTTGAATAAGCAGTTTTAGCCATCAGAGCCACTGATTATGAGTTTTATTGGCTCCAAGAATGTAAGAAGAGACTGACAAGACACTTCTCTTGGTTCCCTGATTAACATTATATCTGGGAACAAAGGACAGTAGCCAAGCATCATGGGAAATTTTTTTTCATCTTTCCTGCAATCACCATTTTCTTCCAAAGGCCACTAAATGTTATAAATGGCTGAGCCATTTGTTCAGAAGTGCTCACCATTGTAATAATTTAACAGGAGGTTCTGTATAACGTTGTGGATAGGGCCCAGCATAACTACTCAGCTGATTGTTATCATCCTCATCATCATGTGTATGTTCCATCTTACAGACGCAAGCTGGTGAAGGCAGAGTGTATAAATGCCTCTTTAACCATAAGTTTGAAGAATCCATGAGTGAGAAGGTCAGTATTATTTTGAAATACACCAGTATTTTATTCATTTCTTAAAAGTTTTCTCAAGTCCTCTCAAATAATATTCTTATAAACTCATTACCAGGATATAAATGATAAAGCTTACCCTTTTCAGAGGAGAGACATTTGGCTTTCAGTAGAGAACCAAAGCATATTTTGCTTAAGCCCAGAAAATGAAGCCTTGTGATATCTAGATACCGGGAAGCCAGTTGAGAATCAATTTTGGAAGTAAAGTTGGAGAATTTTGTATCACGGTCACATTGAAGCCAGCCTCACATACTCAGGAAGTTTAGGCTAACCAAACCAATGTGCTTTGCAGGTAATTAGCTATTTAATTTTTCGGCAGCTGTCTCATTAAGCATTCTCATTACCATTAGTCTGCTGTTCCTGGATAAATGCAAGAATCTTTTATGACTTTTAAAAGAATAATTATTCTTGGTTTTGCTCTCCTGCCATTTACTGTCATATGCAGCTGAAGAAATGTTTCATTTCAGTTGCTTATATAATTCACTATTGAATAATTATATTTTAAAAGCATAGAATGTAACTTACAGAGTGCTCTGTCAGTTGCCACTTTGATTCTTGTGAAATTTACTTTAGGGATATTGTTGAAGAGGAAAAGCATACTTTGTCAAGCTAATGTATTAGAATCTACCAAGTATGTTTTTAGGTACTGTTGCAGCAACAATCAGAAATTCACTGTAGATTTCCAAGGGTTTCTCCATCCATTTATCCCTGCCTCTTACCCCAGCACACTTGTGTTCACTTTTAGCCAAACTTAAAGGTAGGCATTTTGGTAACAACTGCAGTTGTTGACATACCCTTGACCACGAGCCTCTGCTTGTATGTGTGAGCAGCCGAACCACCTGAGTGGTCTTACTCTTTGCTACACTCTTTATTCAGTGTCGAGAAGCACTAACAACCCGCCAGAAGCTGATTGCCCAGGATTATAAAGTCAGTTATTCATTGGCCAAATCCTGTAAGAGTGACTTGAAGAAATACCGGTGTAATGTGGAGAACCTTCCACGGTCTCGGGAAGCAAGGCTCTCCTACCTTCTGATGTGTCTGGAGTCAGCTGTGCATAGAGGTAAGAATTAATTTCTTTTTCTCCTTTTCATTCCTTTTGGATTCACATTCTAGCGTCTCTTGTACACGTAAATGTTAATTTCCTCCTGTATTTGCCCTTCTGAGTTTACATGTGCCTTGTGACTCAGGAGCCTTTGTTTGCAAGCATAACTCCTGGAGCTGAAGGCTTAGTATCCCTAAGCCTTATTAAAGGCCTCTTTCAGGGGCGCCTGGGTGGCGCAGTCGGTTAAGCGTCCGACTTCAGCCAGGTCACGATCACCAGCATGATCGATAGGTTGAGCCCAGCGTGCGGGGCTCTGGGCTGATAGCTCAGAGCCTGGAGCCTGCTTTCGATTCTGTGTCTCTCTCGCCCCTCCCCGTTCATGCTCTGTCTCTCTCTGTCCCAAAAATAAATAAACGTTGAAAAAAAAAAAAAATTTAAAGGCCTCTTTCTCTTAGCTCAATAATTGCCAATTTTGTTTTTCTTTACATGCCAGCTTTTTTTTTTTTTTTAAGGTATATGTCTCAAATCCAAATAGTTTAATTTTCATTTTAATTTTTTTTTTTTTTTATTTTTTTTAATGTTTATTTTGGGAACAGAGAGAGGCAAACATGACGGAGGAGGTCAGAGAGAGAGGGGCTGAAGAATCTGAAACAGGCTCCAGGCTCCTGAGCTGTCGAGCCCGACACGAGCCTGAACTCACGGACATGAGATGGAGGCCTGACTGAAGTCAGCTTAACTGACTGAGCCACCCAGGCGCCCCTCAAATAGTTTAATTTTTAAAATGCATGTCCAGGAGAGTCATAGCATAGTAATTTAAGCGTATGAGCTTTGGGTCAAAGGCATAACTTTTCTAATGGCTCTATCACCAAATTTAAATTAATGGCTAAGTGACCACTGTTAATATTTCTTAATCTCTCCCAAACTCATTTTTCTTTTCTCTTTTAAGGTTTTTTTTTTTTTTTTTTTTTTTTTTTTGAGGGAGCGCAAGTTGGGGAGGGGCAAGGCAGAGCGAGAGGACAGAGGATCAGCAGCAAGCCCGATGTGGGGCTCTAACTCACTGCAAGATCATGACCTGAGTCAGTCAGGCCCGACTTGACTGAGCACCCAGGTTCCCTGTATCCAAAAAAACATAAATAATATTTATGGTGGGTTCTTATGAAGATTGAATGAGGTTATTTGGAATAGTACTTAACATTCAATAAGTGATAGGTACTGTTATTGTTACAACATCGATGATACTAAGAAACTGAACAGTAGGGGTGCCTGGGTGGCTCAATCAGTTGAACTTCCAACTCTTGACTTCAGCTCAGGTCATGATCCCAAGGTCGTAGAACTGAGCCCCACATCAGGCTACTGAGCATGGAGCCTGCTTAAGATTCTGTCTCTCACTCTGCCCCTCTCCCCCACTCACACTCTCTCTAAAAAAAATAAATAAATAAAATAATAATAAAGAAACTAAGCAGTAAAAGAAGAAGGGATTGACCCCTTAGAACCACACTCATGGTCTGTTGAGTCCAAAAGTCAACCCCTGAAAAGGAACCAAGAAGGTCGTATAGAAGATGAGGGTTGTCTTTCTGAATATTGGCTGTAAGCTGTAAAAATTAAATTCCTAGCTCTTATTAAATAAATGATGCTGGGACAGTTGGTTAGTGATTGAAAAGATAAGGGGAAAAATCGATCATTAAATAAAATTCGGAACTTTTTGGTGATTTTTTTTTTTCCCCCATATCTGGATAGTGAAAAACTCCTAAGCTTCAAAGCCATGGAATAGCAACCTGGGACAATGCATGGTCTTGGGTTGAATACCAAATAAAGGACATTTTGGAGACAAACGGAGATTGTTGATTATGGTGTGGATATTAGATGAGATTGTCCTAAAATGGAAAGGTAGAGATTATTGACTAGTACAAGAATATTGTGAAACAGTATGCATAATATAATCTAATTTTGGTATTTATAAAAGTTGATATTCTTAAACTGCAGATTAATAAGAAACACAGGAAGACTCAGTAAATACACTGCCAAAGGCTATGTGAAATAATTCAGAAAAATTACACCAATTGCATAATATTAAAAAGACTGACCATATTACGTGTTAGTGAGAATGTGGAGGAACTGGACTATCTAATGCTTCTGATGGAATTTAACATAGTACAACAGTTTTGGAAAATAGTTTGCCAAATTCTTAGAAGTTAAGCATACATCTACCATATGACCCAGCCATGTGCCCAAGAGATATGAAGGCATATATCCATATAAACTCTTACAATTGAGTGCTCATAACAGCTTTATTTGTAATAGCCCAAAACTGGCAGTGACCCAAATGTTCAACAACATTTGAAGGAATAAGGAAATTGTAGTCTGTCCGTGTCATGAAATAATATTACTTAAAAATAAAAAGGAGTGTGCTGTTGATACATGGATGAATCTAAAAATAGTTTTGTTGAATGAAAGAAGTTAGACAAAAAAAGAGTCTGTACTGTCTGACTCTGTTTATATCAACTTCTAAAAAGTAGAAACTAGTAAACTAGTCTGTAGTCACAGAAAGCAGATCAGTAGTTGATAGGGGAGGGGCTTAGGTGGAGAGGGAGGGAGAGATTCTCAAAGACCATAAGAAAAGCTTTTGGAGTTGGTGGATATGTTCAATATCTTCGTTGTGGTGATGGCTTCAACAACGTATACATATGTCGAACTTCTCCAATTGTACCCTCTAAAAATACAGTTTATCTTATCTTAATTACACCTCAGTAAAGCTGTTTTTTAAAAAACTTTCTTAAGATTTCCCAGTTGGCATCTTTTAGCTCAACGAAGGGGGCTGAAGAGGCTGTAGTGAATATTTGAAGTGTAGTCTTTTCTACAGGCTTTAACTGTGCATACCAGTAGGGGTTGTTCTTAGCTTTCATTGTTACTCTAAAAGTTACCTTATTAATAAGACTTCGATGGAGAGCCTGGGTGGTTCAGTCAGTTAAGTGTCCAACTTTGGCTCAGGTCATGATCTCACAGTTTGTGGGTTCGGCTCAGAGCCCGGAGTCTGCTTTGGATTCTGTGTCTCCTTCTCTCTCTGCCCCACCCTCACTTGCACTCTGTCTCTATCTCCTTCAAAAATAAGTATTAAAAAAATTTTTTAATAAAAAAAAAATAAGACTGCCATCGGCACAGCATTTGCATTGTTAGTTTAGTAGTATAAAATCTGTATAATGCAGAATACTGTCAAGATAAACCCTAGTCTCTGAAGTCTCAAACTCATTTTATGCTGATGCTTGCTATATCCTAAGCTTTTCAGTCTAGCTAATAGCATAACTGGTATTATATTCTAGAGGAAAACATGTACTTTTATGTGTGGTGATATCTGATTGTAATGCGCACCATCCATAATGTCGTGACTTAAATCCTAACTTAGGACGACAAGTGAGCAGTGAGTGCCAGGGGGAGATGTTAGATTACCGGCGCATGTTGATGGAAGACTTTTCTTTGAGCCCCGAGATCATCCTGAGCTGTCGGGGCGAGATCGAACACCACTGTTCTGGATTACATCGAAAAGGGCGAACTCTGCATTGTCTAATGAAAGTAGTTCGTGGGGAAAAAGGGAACCTTGGAATGAACTGCCAGCAAGCGGTAAGGAAAAATTTTCTACTGCCATTTGGAATGTTCTATTTTATCGGCTGAGTCTCCTCCTGATGCTGTCCCAGCTTCCTTTATCTAGATCGTTTGTGGCATCACAGTTAACACTGGGCACTAGGAACCAGACACAGAATATTGTTCAGGCATACCTTAATAAGAACGTGGAATTTGCTGCAGAGCAAAAGTTTGAATTCATAAACAATAAACGGAGCTATATACTTAAAGAGATAGGTAAAATGCATTGTTTGCTGGAGTTTTTAAAGGAAAGTAACTTGCTAGATGAAATTTCTAAACTCAGAACTAAGGCAAACCAGGTTCTGGTAAATTAGAAAATATCCTGTACCAAAGGACGATTTGCCTTTCTCTCTAGGCTTAATTAGATTGAGGCTGAAAAAGAGCTGAAAGGAATTGAAAGTTTCTAAGAGTTTGTTGTTTTTTGTTTTTTTGTTTTTTTAAAAAAATTTTTTTTTTCAACGTTTATTTATTTTTGGGACAGAGAGAGACAGAGCATGAACGGGGGAGGGGCAGAGAGAGAGGGAGACACAGAATCGGAAACAGGTTCCAGGCTCTGAGCCATCAGCCCAGAGCCCGACGCGGGGCTCGAACTCCCGGACCGCGAGATCGTGACCTGGCTGAAGTCGGACGCTTAACCGACTGCGCCACCCAGGCGCCCCTGTTTTTGTTTTTGTTTTTATTAATGTGCAGCATACTGTGAGTTCTTGGCCACATGGATCAAGAGAGCGTGTTATTTTCAAAATGACACCATCTTTCTTGTTACACCAGGGGCAACTGTGCATGGAAGGGTCTTTCTTTCTCTGGCCCCAAACTGTACATGAATTCTATAAAGATATTTGGAAAAGATGAGTGTACTTCTTGGGAAGATAAAGTTATTCCTTTTTTCCCCCTTTTTTTAAAGATAAAGTTATTCTTGATCTAGGGTTCATGAACAGTTGAATAACTACAGGTGAGGGGCATAATATAAAGTTAACAAAATACTATAGATGCAGTGCATCTGTTTCATTACCATTGTCCACATTTATTACTTTTTACTGAATAAGAGTCTTTGAACCATTCTCGGTACCAAATGGAACAGTGGTACCCTGTACAGTGTACCCCATACATCTCTTAGGACGCACAAAAGATACCATTTAGCTTTGTATCCTAAATTAGGGAGTTGAGTTTCTCAGTGAAACTTTAGAAAACCACAATTCAGTTGTTTTTTGTTGTTGACATTTTTATTAAAAAATGAGTATTATAGAAAACCAGAATTTGACAATCTGAAACACAAAATGTCCATAGAATTTTGATGTGGAGTAAAATTTCATCTTCGCTTCTCTTACTCACCCTGACCCAGAGTCGAAAGTAAATTATACATCCAGTGGTGGAAAAAATAGACAAATATATATATATATTCTCCAGAATCCCGAACCCAGCTAGAAGGAAGGCTTCAGGAATCTACTGTGGTTTTAGTTGGAACATTGTGGTTCTTCAGGAACAATCCTTGCTGGTGATTGTCCTGGGAAACCTCTGTGACAATATGTGTGCTTGGACCTCAGACCAAGAGTGAATCAAGACATCCTATACTTGAAGCTCATCCTTAATGCAGCATGTAAAGGGGAGGGAGTTGGTCAGGAATAAACCTCTTTACTGAGGCTACACTTATACCAAAGTGTACAAAAAAAACACAAAATAAGTTGGTTTAACTTAATTTCACACCATCTACCTCCAGGGCTTTTTGAAATTTAGCTTGTTAAAAACAACTAGTGGCTCATCTTGGAAGGTAAATACGGACCTCCCGTCTCACCCTTTTTGTCTAGAAGAAAATTTCTCACAAGCATTTCCCCAGTTTTTTCCTAAGCAGTCAGGGGCTGGAATAGATACATAATCACGTAGCGATTTATGTTCATAGTGTTTGTTTCCCACACTGCTGTCCCTGGGCTCCAGAGTGGCAGTGATCCCTTGGGCTGTTAGCCCTCTAGAATCTGTAAGGCAGTCATTGTCTCCTTTTAGGAGCTGCAGTCTGGTGTGTGCATTTTGAATTCTCAAAGTTTGCCTGTCACTTATGGATATTTAACCTGTACAGTTCTTGCAGAGACTTCCAGATCCCCATGATACTTAAAACTTCCCTCAGAAAAAGATGTAAATATTTTGGTCTTTGTCAGCAAACGTTACTACTAAAATTGATGATAATCTTCCTATCAGCTAAGCAGAGCATTTTGTAGCTTCTCCAAATTGCCACCGACAATTGGTATAAATAACTTCCTTCCCAGAATATTGAAAATCTTTTGTTTTCTTTTCTTTTTTAATACTTTTTAAAACATTTTTCTTTTTTTTAAGAGAGAGAGACAGAGTACAAACAGGGGAGGGGCAGAGAGAAAGGGGGACAGAGGATCCAAAGTGAGCTTTTCGCTGACAGCAGAGAGCCCAAGGCAGGGCTTGAACTCAAAAACCACTAGATCATGACTTGAACCAGTCAGATCCTCAACCACTGAGCCACCCAGACGCCCCAGAAATCTTTTCTATTTCTCTCATCTTGATTGTTGACTTTTTAGGATAGATAGAATTGGGATTTTCTTTCTTCATTTCCTTTTGATCCGTGTTCTCTCCCCCCATGTGTGATGGGGTCAGTGCTTTCGTATGAGCCCCTGTGGGATTGTAGGTCACATGTATGAAGATCAGAGAAGACTCTCCTCCAAAGGCTAAATCTGTGACACAGAAAGGACTTTAACTTGGAAAATCGGGAACCCAAACCAGAAGGATTCTAGTTTTTAAATTTGTTGTCTGTTATTTAAGATTCCCACCCCAAAACACCATCTGCTATCCATCTGTACTAATAATGATCTTTTACATGTGTAAAATGCTTTGCAGTTTATACATCCTTCTCTTGTATATGACTCTTTCTTGTAATTCTTCCTCAGTTCAAGAAACTGCAGCTAGAGGTTAATCATGACCATGTTCTCAAAGCTAATTTCTGGCAGAGCCAGAACTATTAATAGAACTCAGGTCCTCTGATCCCTAATTTGGAGTTTTTTCCTCTGCCCCAACTGCTTTCTCCTCAAAGACCGGAAAAAAGAATTAGAGGCCCATCTTCTCATGCTCTCACTTTATTCCATGACAGAGAATGGACCAGGCAAAAATAGATGTTAAAGAAAATACTCTCATTTTCAGCTGTATAATGACAAGTATTTTTTTTTTTTTTAACATTTATTTATTTTTGACAGAGAGACAGAGCATGAGCAGGGGAGGGGCAGAGAGAGAGGGTGACACAGAATCTGAAGCAGGCCCCGGGCTCTGAGCTGTCAGCACAGAGCCCATCCCGGGGCTCTAACTCACAGACTGCGAGATCATTACCTGAGCCAAAGTCGGATGCTCAACCGACTGAGCCACCCAGGCACCCCAACAAGTATTTTTCTGGATATGTATAATGAGCAAGTTCTGCTTTACCTCTTCATTGTATAAAAGATAATTGAGGAAAAATGGAAATTATAAGTATTGCATTCTTGTTTTTTTAATTGATATTTCTTACAAGTTAAATGAAATCTCACATTTGTTTTTAATAGTGTGGAGCATGCTTGTTTTAATGCCAATGTATTGGCTGCATAATCCAAATTCTAGATTCTTACGACCAAATTAGGTCTCTGACTGGAAATGTCTTCTCTTTACCCTTGTCCACTCAATTCTGGCTTGGCCGTGAGGGTCAGATTTAGCAATCTGATTAACAAATAGGCAGATATGAGGGAAAAGGCAGGCTTTATATCGTAAAGAGCTTTTGTTTTGGAAATGTCCAGAGATGGTCCAGACAGGTAGACAAGCAATCCCCACAGTAGCTTAAACAGAAAAACTGAGGCTCAAGATAGAGAAGCCAGTTGGAATGTATTTGACAGGAGCTCTTATGCTTGGCCAGTGACAATTGTTAATTGTTAAACTTGTTAACAGTACATTGTGATATACCAGACCAAGTAAATATTTGAAAAGATGACATTGCTCTTCCCTCATATATAAGAGATGTTCCTCTTTCTTTATTTTCTTTTAATCCAGCTGCAAACACTGATTCAGGAGACGGACCCTGGCGCAGATTACCGCATTGATAGAGCTCTCAATGAAGCTTGTGAATCTGTTATACAGACGGCCTGCAAACACATAAGATCGGGAGACCCAATGTAGGTTATCTTATTTGTAGTATTTATTTACATTGTATTGTATTTGGCAGTGTAGTGCCAGAAACATTCCTTCTAAACAGAAACACATACCAACTTTTGATAGAACTAGTACTGGAGCCCTTGGCTCTGCCTCATCCATGATGTAGAGACACCGAGACCCAGCATTGTGCTGATGTTCACTGACTGTGACCGAGCATGTATGGGCCTGTGCATTAAGTCGCTGAATAATCTGTTTAATGGTCAAATGAAAACGAGAGAGAAACACTCAGGATAAAGTGACACATTACTTTGTCTCTGTAGTTCATCCTATTTGTATATTGACTCATTGTATACATTGGCTACTTGATAATTATTAGAAATTAATTAATTCTAATTGAAGTAAAAACTGTTGTGGTTGGAGGATATAATCATGAACAAAATGAACTCTGAAGTTGCGTCCAAGATTTAGGAAAGCTATAAAATGCTATACTAAAGTATTTGAATGTCATGCAGTAGTTTTCTCCATGTGATGCACAAACTAGTTTTAAAACCAGGTTGCAAGTAAAGAACAGGTTTCCCATTCTGCACAAATCCTCATAGCCTGCAGCTGGCAGTAATCAACAATAAAATGAATGCAGTCTATATTTGTCATCATTCTGTTATGCATACACTCCTGCTGTTCATGCTATAGCAGGGGATTAAAAAAGGGTATTCTTCTTTAAAGTTTTTTATGCAGTTGGAGGAGGTAGACAAACACAGTGAAGACTAATTAAGAATATTTACCAATACAAAAATAACTGCATTGAGCACGAGGGGTCAAGGGAGAGGGAGGGAAGGAGAGAACTGCTGTAGCTAAAAATCATTTGAAGAGACTATCAATTAAATGCAACGTGTGGACCTTTTCTGGGTCCTGGTTTGAACATATAAAAAGGCATAAGAAAATTGGGAAAAAAATTGAAAACTAACAGGATATTACCTGACATTAAGGATTTTAAAAATTTCTTTTCATGGGTTACAGTATTATGTTCTCATAGAGAAACATGCTCAAGTATTTATGAATAAAATGATAAGGTATCTGGGATTTGCTTCAAAATACCAGCAAGGGGGTGTAGAATTAAAACAAACTTAGCCATACGTTGATAAAGTTATGGGAAGGGAAGGTGGCTAATGTGTGATTCTTTACTTTTGTGTGTGTTGGAGAATTTTCACAACTAACAGTTAAAAATAAAGCAGCTGCACACAGATCTTAAGTAAGCTGAGTCCTAAGTGCTAAGTGGTCCTGAAGTTAGAAGCCATAATCATTGTCAGACTGATTTGAGTTATTCTCAGAAAAGTAAATCCCTGATTGCCCTCAAAAATAGCTCAATGACTTTTTCTACAGACCAAGGAAATATTGATGTGAGAATTCCAAACCTGTTGCTACAGTTTCATCCCTGTTTTATTCCCAGGATCCTCTCGTGCCTGATGGAGCACTTGTACACGGAGAAAATGGTGGAAGATTGTGAACACCGTCTGTTAGAGCTGCAGTATTTCATCTCCCGAGATTGGAAGTGAGTATTTTGAAGCCAGAATCAAGTGTAAGCCTCAGCATGTTCTCCTGTGTAGTCAGTATCTTTTGTATTATTTGAAATAACCGGTAGGAATATGTTTTTAAGTTCTGGGATAGCTGACACACTCCAATCCCTTGAGAAACCTTTCTTGCTTTCAGAATAGTATCTCAAAGCCGAGGCAGCCCCTGCAGGTCTGTCCCCGTGTGCTCCCATTCACTACTATTTTGGAAGTCAGAGTCAAATGTTTCTGATACCACAAACATCTATCCTGGAAGGACTTGGGCGCCTGTGGGGCAGCAGAAGCATCTTCAGATACGTTTCTAAGAAGATACTAGTGCATTTTAATTTTTATTGATTTGTGCTGGATATGGAAATTTACTTTTATTCCTTTAACTATTCAAAGTTACTGAATTTTCTATCTTAAGAGGCTCTTATCAGTAAGGGACAACTTGATTCTCTGATTCTCTTCTCATCCTGTTAGTCAAGAAAGGAGGGGTAGGGGACGAAATAGAAGAAGGATCTGTGTTGCAGTCAGAATCACTGTAACTTACTGGCTGCAATGCCCTCCTCTTTTTGTGTCTCAGTTTCCCTTCCACTTCCAGAGCAGCCAAGACCCGACAGCTTGGGAAGCTGGCTTTTCCTGCCGCACCCAGGCTCAGCTCCTTCCTGGCTCAGTTATCTCAACCCCTGGAGTTTGGTCATTAACTTTTTCTAGTGATTGAATATGTCACCCACAAACTTTACTGGGAAGTGATTATTCAGAAGGTTCAATGTATTTTTATTTCTGTGTCCTCAGATTAGCTCTGGAAAGGACTACAGAAAAGTACATGGGAATTTCTCTGTACTTTCTCAGGCCGTCTAAGCCCGAGTTTAGACTCAGAGTCTAAACTCTGTTTACGTAGTTTACTGAGTTTACTGCCTTAATCAAAACTCTGTTTTTCCTCTTCTGTAACTCCTTTACCCATGATCAAAAAAATGCTTCACAGGCCTAAAAGCTACTCATTAAGTATTAGCTTTTCTCCTCCCATTCACTAGCTCTCCCCTAAAGTTGACATTATGATGTGGACAGAATTAAGCATCTATTGGTCTGATTTGGAGAAGCTGCAGGCTCATTGCCTTAATCCATTGTCTCCAGAGTCAGAGTTAAATGTCAAGTTTTTTAAGTTGATAAGCATATTCAGGTAAACTAAAAGTGGAACTGCCTTAGCTTGCATGGGAGGAAGAAGAGTAACAGTTTTACTGGAAAGGAAGTCGAGTGAGGGATTTTGTTTATCTTGCCATTTCCTGATCCTATTGAATCTAATGTATCAGATAGGATTGAATTTCACACTTAGAAAAAAAGTATTGAGTGGAAAGTTGTGAATTGCCTGGTGATAAGCTACAGCCCTTATTTTCTCATTTCAGCCTGGGCGCGTTAGTGCTGAGTCTGCTGTTGTAATGTTGCGCATCTTACATAGCTGTCTTGGCCTCTTTGAGGTAGAACTTAAATCTTCTGTGCCAAGGTCAACAGACTTCTACAGATTGACCACTGTGTGTTCCTGAAGAACAAAATTCAGGAATATCTTTTAACTTTATAGGCTGGACCCTGTCTTATACCGCAAGTGCCAGGGAGATGCATCTCGTCTTTGCCACACCCATGGTTGGAATGAAACCAGTGAACTTATGCCTCCCGGAGCTGTGTTCTCCTGCTTATATAGACATGCCTACCGCACGGAGGAACAGGGCAGGAGGGTATGCATTCTATACTGACTTCATTTCTTCTTATCAACCATTTGTTTTTTTAGTTAGTTTGTTGTATTGTGCTGACTTCTGTCATTGTAGGAAACTTTGTTTATTAGTATATCTGGCAGGGAGGGGTTGCTGCACTACTAGAAACTTCCATTATTCAGTGACTAATCGTAGAGTTGCTTCACCAGCTTCTTTCTGTCTGATTTTACATTTTCAACAAAGTAAGTCAGGGGACATTTCCAGTTTTTTCTTTAAATTACCAAAATCTTTTTTTTTTTTTTTTTTACATTGATTTATTTTTGAGAAACGGAGTGAGACAAAGTGTGAGCAGGGGAGGGGCAGAGAAAGAAGGAGACACAGAATCTGAAGCAGGTTCCAGGCTCTGAGCAAGCGGTCAGCACAGAGCCTGATGTGGGGCTCGAACTCACAAACTGTGAGATCATGACCTGAGCTGAAGGCGGACGTTCAACCGACTGAGCCACCCAGGCGCCCCTAAATTACCAAAATCTAAATGACAAATAGACAAATATTGCCACCCTAATTTTATTTAACTTTAAAGTTCCATTAGAAGCTCTTAACCAGGATACAGATGGTTTTTAGACTTATTGTGAGTTTAGGTAAATTTGAACTTAATGTTCCTGACCCAAGTGTGTGCCTTTTCCTGAACTGGAGCCCGCATTCTACTCTACATTCATAGAGTAATAGCAGATTAGTTCCGCTAAACAAAAAACTCTAACCTAACCTGAACAAATCCGGTTCACTTTTTATCAGAGTATTTTGAGAAAAGGATGTTGTCTCAATAGTGTATTAGAAAATACTGAATGTATAATCTCATTCCTAGAGATACAGGCTTTTAGAAGTCTCCTAGAAAATTTAATCCTTATTCTGGAAGAGATTTGAGGTATAAAGTTTATATAAATTACTATAACGTTCTCTGTTAGTTTCCTGACAACAGATATCCTTTATCTAGTGCTTTTTTGTTTTGGTTATGGTGCTTTTTTATTTTAATGTTTATTTTATTTTTGAGCGAGAGAGAGCGAGTGTGAGCAGGGGAGAAGCTGAGAGCGAGGGAGACAGAGGGTCCTAAGCAGGCTCTTCGCTGACAGCACCAAGCCCGATGTGGGGCTTAGACTCATGAACCATGAGATCATGAGGTCATGACCCAAGCTGAAGTCGGATGCTCAACCAACCAGGCACCCTTGCTTCTGGTACTTTTAAAGTATTTTGCTTGTTCTTTCTCATACAGCTTTCACGAGAGTGCCGAGCAGAAGTCCAAAGGATCCTACACCAGCGTGCCATGGATGTTAAGCTGGATCCTGGCCTTCAGGATAAATGCCTTATCGATCTGGGAAAATGGTGCAGTGAAAAAACAGAGACTGGACAGGTAGCTCACATAGCCACCTATTTATCTTATAGTAGTAATAATAATCATCATCATCACAATTAACATTTTATATAGAGTACAGATCATAAAATACAATCTTTATTTTTGTTACATTATTCAGTGTCCTCTTCTTAAGAAATCCTAAGGAAATTTTTCTCTTTCGTCTCTGTGGAAGGAATAATACTACTTTTCCTAAGCCGTTGGTTTGTTTTTATATTATGGTTACTGTATTTTGTAAGCGATTATTTTCCCCCTTCGTGTTGCCTCTTAAAAAGCCTGGAGCCAAAGGTATGACCTGCCTCGAGCAAGTATATGAGATTTTGTGGTAGGCTTTTGTGTACCAGGTTTGCTGCTAGCTCCATCCCCCCTTCTTTACCATATTTTCTTTTTCTTCCTATTTTTTAACTCATTCTAACTTTATTTTATATTGCCTTTTTTTTCTCTTCTCACTTTTATAAGGTACGTTAAGTCCTTTCGAGAGAAGGCAGTGTATAAATATAAACAATTCTAAATACTGGCATACATGAATAGCATGCATGCCATCCAGTAGTCCTGTAAGATATGTAGGAATGGGAATTATCTTTTCCATTTGGTAATTGACAGAATTGAGACTCAAGAAGTGAAGGAAGTGTACTGACTTCCTTTCCTAATACTCAGGTGTAATCCTAACCAGACATCTGGTCCATTGTGTCATAACCTCTCCATACCGGAAAGCATAGAGAAGCAGCAGCCCCCAGAATTACATGCATGCTGTGAATGGTTCCTAACGATTTTGTGCCTGCTTTAAAAAAATAGAAAAGCTACATTACTGCTTTCTAGCAAATTAAGTTAGAAGGTAGTGTGTCCTCTGTGGTGAGGAGTAAGTCCTTGTTTAAAGCTCCAGTAATACTAGAACAAAGTGTGAACTCAGGTTTCCAGGTTCCATTTTTACTACTCCAGAACATCCTCTGGGATTAAACTATTAAAAACTTACCCGTGCAGAAATTGGGTATGTTTAAGAAGCAACATGGCTCACTATTCAGATCTGCTCACCCTGGGAATGCCATTTTCAGCAGGCTACCTCCTTGGCCTGCTGCAGTTCTGTCAAATTTATTCTTAGAAAACGCTTGCAGTTCAGCTTTCTGCTGCCTCTGTCTAATGAAACAAAAGATATGGTCACATGGAATCCCAGAAAACAGTTTCTTTCCATACCCCCTTTGAAGTAACAGTGAGAAAGCTATGCTGTGTGGCAGTCCATTGCTGTGAAGCTTGGCTCAGGAAAGGATTCTATGACTGGGATTTTTCCCTTAGCCATTTATCTTACTCCCGAGGTTTTATGCATTTTCCTTTAGGGATTCCCCACCCCACCCCTGCTTTCTGGGCATTGTATAATTCCTACACCCCCCTGCTCATCACTTCCTATTCTAATTCCAAAACAGAGACTCTTGCAAAATAGTAAGTTAAACTTGATCCTTTAATAGAGCCCTTTGCTGAGAAATAGCTGTTGATATGCTTTGGGAAAATGAGCTTCTGTTCTACTTAAAACCTCTATGTTTCTAAAGGGAATAGTCATGGAATGATACTACGAGGTCTCTCCAGGTCAGTTTCCAAAGCCTAGACGAGATAGTGTTTAGATGTCCAAACCCTAATGTGCTCACTTGCTTTGCAGCTTTCCTCAGGATCTTTCTATGTGGGCCAAGGTTAGAATCCCACATTTGACTTGCAGGAGCTATAAGTTCTATGCTGTTTTGGATCCTGGGTCCCAGCCTACTTTGCTCGTGAAAAGTCTTAAAATATTCCATGTCTTTCCCTGTAAATCTGTTGTTCGTTGATTATTATTGGTGCTCAGATTTAAAATGGGAGCAAAGGTGATCAAAACATAGGTTAAAATTGAATGGCACGTTGTTGATAGAGTGGAATAAAGGCCTGATAAAATTTTTAGACTCTGAGGACGTCTCGACATTGATTCTTGTTGGACTTACTGATTGGGCCTTCTGTAGGATTTGCGTGGCTATTGTAGCCCCTTGTGACCCTCTTAACTACCCTTTTACATCAAGTACTTATTTTTCAACAATCCCAGTTTGGGGACTCAAATAGAGCTTTAGTGTTCTGTTCAGTGAAATAGTTTTTAAAAGGAAAGATAAGGAGGACCGCTGAAAAGGAAGTAGTAGACCCTGTTCTCTCTGCTTCCCTTGTTCATTTATATAATTGACACATGCCAAGGGATTGCTTTCTTACTTGCAGGAGCTAGAGTGCCTCCAGGACCACCTTGACGACCTGGCTGTAGAGTGCAGAGATATAGTCGGCAACCTCACTGAGTTAGAATCTGAGGTAAGCAGTGTGCAGCTTGTAGATGGCGGCAGCCCTGTCAGCAACCTGTCCTCTGTTCTCAGGCTTGCTGTTTTTCAGCCCCGAGAGTGTCACTTCTCTCCGCTGGCTTTACCAAGAAGTGTTTTGTTTTGTTTCCTAAACCCCTCTCCTCATTTCTCCAGAGAAATAGCCCATACGTTTAGCCCTTTGGTTTTCTTCATAAATTAGAATTATCACAGTGATTAGACCAATCTTTTCCCTGGCCTTTAAGAAAAGCTAGCAGCTGTGCTTCAGATCTCTCAATCACGTGCAAGACCAGTCCGAACATTCCCGTTCCTGTTCTCTTACCTTAGCTCTTTCGGTTAGGTCATCTGGTAATGTTTGTGTCATCATTAAGAAAATAAAAGGCTGGGATTTCCACTTAAATGTGGAAGATTGAATGCACGTGTTTATCCGTGTTTCATCCTGTAACTCACTAAAATATTAAAAAAGAAATCAGAAAGTCTCATAAGCAAGAAATACTATTTAGAAATACAGCATTACTGGGGAAGGAGCAGATAAAAATGTTAAAATGGTCTTGTGGGAGCAGAAATCAGGGAAACGGGAAATTGCTATTTTTTTTATCATAAGCCTTTTAGAACTGTTTGAATTGTCAAAAGTATCAATACGTACAATTACATTGCTCAGCTAGTCTTTTTTTTTTTTTTTTTTTTTTTTTTTTTTTTTTTTTTTTTGCTTTCTATTTTTCAAAAGTTTATTGCTTTCTTTCATCTTCTGTCATCTCCCTTCTCCAATTTTCATTGTCCTTATGGGCTTTTGAGGACATTCTGGGGTGTGTCACTCTTTAAAGGAAGATATTATTTCAGCAGCTAGTGCTGCACAGAGGTTGCTGTCTGCTTAAAGGCATTTGTGTATGTTCCCCAGAGGCAGTGGTTTGTCGTCTGTTTTAGGAGCTTATAAACTAAAGACAGATGTCAGTTACCCGCATTTTCATTTTGAACTGCTTAGCCATTTGGAAAAACTCCAAAGGCTAAACACTAGGATTACTGTTAAATGTTTTATTTTCTGTACTGTTCTTAATTCTGCCTTATCTTTTGCTCAGGCCCAAGGGGTATCTGCCTCTAGAAAACCTTGCCTTTCAGAATATAATGAAGGAGCAATTCTCTCTGTGCTGTGGCTGTCTAACCTAAAGACCAGACTAGCTTCCAGATGGACACCTTAGATTATGGCGATGGCAAATGCCCATCAGTTGTTACTGAGTCAGAAACACAAACTTGCCCCGCTTCCTAAACTACTGGCTCTTTCTAAAGCAGAATTATTAATATGTTTAATCTCCCACAGGATATTCAGATCGAAGCCTTACTGATGAGAGCCTGTGAGCCCATAATTCAGAACTTCTGCCACGTAAGTAATGTCTGGAGAAATGGATTCAAAACAAAACCAAATTCACTGGGACTTTGTGTGTTGCACTAACTTCCTTGTCTTCGGCATACATTACTCCTGAGTGATCATCAGATTGACGAATTAAAGTGAAAAATGTAAACAAAATCAAGAGACGGGTGCCACCATCCTCAGAAACCTTATTTGATTATCATTGGTAGATGACCTGGTATGTGGTTAGTGGCAGTTGTGGAGATGCCCTTTACAGGGGGCAGGGGGAGGCCCTCCTGAGCATAGCTGTGTTGCCGCCAATACATCAGCCTGGGGTTTGTTAGCATTAATAGTAGCTGCACCTCCCGACTCTCTTCTTGTAAATTAAATTAATTCTGTTATTTTGAACTAGCTAAATTACAGGGGTGAAACCATGCAGGAACCAGGAGGCAATGTTGGGTGTGATGCTGAAAGCCAGCTGCTGGCGTCATGTAGGGGAAGGAGTAAAAACCCTGCACAGTACATGTTCTTGTCGGGAGCTTCATGCAGGGCAGCTTGCTGTGCCAATACTGATAAACACTGATAAACATCCCTTGTAATTTCGCAGGCTTATTTTGGTATAATTTATGAGGCATCTTGTTGGTGAAGGCTCTAGAATCAGTCTCGTTTTCCATTTTTCTATGAACTAGGGTGCACGATTTGTTCACTAATTGTTAGAAATGAAATGTAAATGTGCACTGCCTTCCCCAGGATGTGGCGGATAACCAGATAGACTCTGGGGACCTGATGGAGTGTCTGATTCAGAACAAACACCAGAAGGATATGAATGAGAAGTGCGCCATTGGAGTTACCCACTTCCAGCTGGTGAGTAACACCAGGCAAATCCTGACTGTCTTGGCTGCTTGGATGGCTCTGAATTCTTTCTCTTCCAGAGCATCAGGGCACCTCTTCTGTGAGAAATCTTTTTTTTCCAAATATATGTCCTCTCTGGTTCTCAAAAAATACGGTCTTTTCCACTATGGCCAGGCACGATGGTAGGCTCTAGGAATGCAGTGCTAAATAAAGATGGAGTCTGTACCCTTAGGGAATAGAGATGAGTCACATTGTTTGCTTTTCATAAGATACGTTAACCTTTGCTTGCACAGAAAGTATGAATGGGATCTGCTGTTTTGTCATTGTGCAGTGCAGCAGCCCAAATGTCTATCAGTATACTGAACTCTTAAGCCTTTTTTTTTCTTCTAAATCGTACTACCCAGGTCTGGCATCCACATACTTTTCACAGTTACACATGTCTAAAGAAAGTGTTTCTGGTAAAGCAAGCACTTCCTTCCTGGGAGGATGGAATCTGTCATCTGTATAAAATTGATCTCTTCCCAGGGCCTATGGGCTACGTGGCTTCCTTTACCAAATGATATTGAGGGCCTCTGGAGTGTGGGTACTGGAGACAGTGGGCAACAAACCCTGCCCTTGTCTGTTCTGTGTTCTAGTAAGAGAAAGACACAAAACACTTTTACAAATAAGTACAGAGTCTCATGTGGGCTAGAGCTGCATAAGGGCTAGAGGATGAAGGAGAAAGGGGACTTGAGAAGGAGGTGTTTGAGTAGAAATGCTGAGGAGGTGATGCGCGGACCAGGGAGGATCTGGGAGAAGGGCTTCGTGGCAGAGGGAGCAGCATGATTGGAATGGCAGGAACGCCAGGGTACCCTTAGCAGAGGGAATAATGGGGAGGTTGGCAGGTCACGAAGTCTGAGGTGGAGAGCAAGTTTCACAGGGCATGGAAGGCAGGCTTCTGCAGTCTCTGTGCAATCAGCCAGCACTGCCAATCGGAACTTGCCACAGAGCTGCTGATTTTCTTTCTCATCATTTTTTTCAGGTGCAGATGAAGGATTTTCGGTTTTCTTACAAGTTTAAAATGGCCTGCAAGGAGGATGTGTTGAAACTTTGCCCCAACATAAAAAAGAAGTATGTAACGTTTAATTGATTAATTCTGCTTCCCTAAACTCTGGACAAATGTCCTGTGTACTGGTAGGGTTAGCCTTGGAGGCCTGCACACTCCCTTGGTAGTACGGCCATGCACTTGGGCTGTGTGGCCACATGATCTTTGTGGCTGCCTGCAGCCACAGGGGACAGTGGTGGTTCTGACACAGAGAGCCTGGAGGCTAAAGGGGCGATTTTAATGTTCCCAGGTTCAGGCTGTCTGACTGAAGAGGCAGATTTAGATTGTTACTTAGAGAAGCCAGTTATAGTATGAATAAGAGGTTAACTGCCTCCCAACATCATTCCATTATGTTAACTCTTTGGGAGAGCAGCAGGGGCTTTTACTGAATTAGAGGTCTAGTTTGGAAACAAAAACTTTATTCATTTATGAATTCAGTCTCAGGGCGCCTGGGTGGCTCAGTCGGTTAGGCGTCCCACTTTTGATTTTGGCTCAGGTTATGATCTCACAGTTAATGACATCAAGCCCCGCATCGGGCTCTGCGTGGACAGTGCGGTGCCTACTTGGCATTCTCACTCTCTTTCTCTGCTCCTCCCCTGCTCACACTGGCTCTCTCTCAAAAATAAACATTAAAAAAAAAAAAAAAAAAAAAGAATTAGGTCTCAGTGAAGACAGTGATGGGCTTTTACAGCATGGCTGCCTGAGTTCTTCCATCTTACTCTTTGCAAAGGCATGTTTCTAGAACACATCCCTCTCCCTCATATAAATCAAGTTCCCATTTTGCTCAAGGTTCTGTACCTCTCAAGAATGAATTTCACAGCTCATCAAAGAAAGACACAGTCTAGAGTTAAGAGCAGCATTCCTCTCTGGTCTCATGTTTTTAGCAAAACAAGCATTGAACTGTCCTTACGTCCCCTCTGTGGCCTCCCTACCTGTCAGGATTGTAGTGCGCCTTCAGTCATTTGTGACATAGAGAGTCAGGTTACTGCTTTTAGCGCTTTTAACACAATGAGACTTCTAGAAAAAGCATTCAAAAACGTGGTAAAGAGGGTCATGCATTCTGGAGTGTTGATGTGGCCCCTGCCCCAGCTCAGCCCCTGGCTCTCTGCCCTCATGTGGCTCCAGCCAGTCTCAGCCTTCTCCTTTCCTTGGCAGGGTGGACGTGGTGATCTGTCTGAGCACCACTGTGCGCAATGACACTCTACAGGAAGCCAAGGAACACAGGGTGTCCCTGAAGTGCCGCAAGCAGCTGCGGGTGGAGGAGCTAGAGATGGTAATGCCTCATAGCACAGCCTCTGGTCCCAGAAACACAGAGGCGGGTCTGGAAAGTTGGGTGAAGGGTGAGGGCAAATTGAAAGGTTTTAGCCATTATTATGATTGTTAAGATTTGGAGCCTTGTGCTCAGATCTTACCATGTGACAGCTTCTTGCTTCACTTTTCCTAACCGATAAAGTATTTTTACCACGTGTAACTGGAAGCTCACTATAGGACAAGCTGTAAGCGCATGATACAGTCCGTGCATCAGTAATGCCCTCAAGGATCAAGGGTCTCTCCCTGTTTGCTTTGCTGTTCGTGGCACCAGCTTCATGGTAAGGCTGCTTCCCCTCACCATGGCTACCTGCAGCGGCTCTGGCCTCCTGCTCCACGTCGTCTCCAGCAGGAAAGTAGAACAGGAGAGACCTCCTCCCTCCCCCACAGCCCGTAGCCAGATCCTTCCCTCAATTTGCTCGTGTCAGCTGGAGATCTGTGCCCACTCCCTGACCAACAACAGTCTCCAGGGGAATGCCATGCCCTGAAGAGCTTACAGATCACGAGGTACAACAGTTACTGGCAAGTCGAATGCAGTGTGCGCTCTAAGGGGAAACTTATGTTGCTTTTGAGGTTAAGCTAAACAGCTAAAAATGTTTAGTATATTCTGTATTGTGAATTCTACTTATTTCACTTCAGTCTAAATAAAAACTAAAAACTAGTAATGAACACCAAACACCAGTAATATTGCAAAAGTTACATTACCAGATTTTCACGTAGGGTGGGAGTGATTCGGTGGTAATTATGTGTTAAGTGGAGCTCTCCTCGATATCCTAGTGTAATTGAGACTTTGGGTCCCTAGCGTTGGACCTCGCTCTTTCAATAAAACAATAATAAAAGTAGAACCCTACATTTATATAATGCTTTAATTTCCTGAAGTGGTTTCCACATCATATTATCTTACTTCATTTCACAGCAGTCCTGCGAAGGGGCCGGGTAGGTGGCAGCATTTTGTTTTGCAAAAAAAGTCCAAGGCCATCTAGCTAGTTAGTGCAGAATTGAAACTAAATGCCAGCTCTCCTTTTACTGCGGTGGCCCCACTGCTCCTATTTTGCTGTGTAAAGGTTGTGGTCACTAGACAAGATCTGGTCAGTACGTGAATATGTAGAACATTTGACATCTCCAGTTTCGAGTAACCTCACTTTTCCATGCTGGCCCCCTCCCATACAGACAGAGGACATCCGTCTGGAACCAGATCTGTATGAAGCTTGCAAGAGTGACATCAAGAACTACTGTTCCACTGTGCAGTATGGCAATGCTCAGGTAACTGTCTGTTTATATTTTTTAATTGTGAAACTGTGAAGGTAACATTTTGGGACACCTAAGTGGCTCAGTCGGTTAAGTGTCTGACTTTTTATTGCAGCTTAGGTCATGATCTCATGGTTCGTGAGTGTGAGCCCCACATTGTGCTCTCTGCTGGCTGTGAGGAGCCTGCTTGGGATTCTCTCTCTCTCTCTCTCTCTCTCTCTCTCTCTCTCTCTCTCTTTCTCTCTTTGTCCCTCCCCAACTTGTGCGATTGTGCTCTTTCTCTCTCACTCTCTCAAAATACACTTGAAAAAATTTTTTATTGTTATGTTTATTTATTTAGAGAGAGATTGAGAGACAGAGTGTGAGGGGGGAGGGGCAGTGAGAGAGGCAGACACAGAATCTGAAGCAGGCTCCA